CCACACAGAGTCTCTAAAACTGCATTAGGTTCGTTTCTGTCCTTAATTTCTTTATTATAGTATTCTCTTAGTTGCAGGTATCGGAAGAAGTCTCGATTATCTAGACTAAATTTGTCTTTCAGATATTGAAAACTTCTTATTTCCCCATTATTAATTAAATTACAAAAAGCTGTAACCCCTCTATTGGTCCAAAATTTGAAATTTGAGTCATGCATTCCTGGTTTAAAGTCTTTGTCATGAGCTACCCATCTTAATATTTTTCTTTCTTTATTCAATTTTAATTGTCTTGCTACACTATACCAAATTTCCATTGTGAGTTGTGCAATTGGGCCAAGTATTTCTATTACATCAGTTGGGATATGGTCCTCTCCCACGAGTGTCTGAACATTGTACCCAGGGATGCATGTCTCAATCTCTTTCCATTTGGCACAGTAACTAGGGTCACACCAGCAACACAGGTAACGCAATTGAGCTGCATAGAAATACATTTTTAAATTTGGAAGGGCCATGCCCCCCTTATCCTTCTGCAGCAGTAATGTTGAATACCTAACTCTGGGCCTCTTCCCATCCCATATAAACTTCGATAACAGCTTATCCCACTCTGTGAATTGTTTTGACGGAATATTTACCGGGAGGGATTGAAATAAGTAAAGTAGCCTAGGGAGGATGTTCATTTTTACCACTTTTATTCTATCACTTAAGCCGAGTGGATAAGTAGACCATCTCTGGATGTCTGTTCTAATACTTTCGTTTATTGGGTTGTAATTAAAATTATATAGTAGTGAAGAATCTTTGGATAGAAATACTCCGAGGTATTTAATTTTGTTGGTGCTCCATTTTATATCATATGTGCGTGCAGTTTCATTTGAGGGTGAATGATTAAACAATAGTATTTGGGTTTTGGAAATGTTCAACTTGTATCCAGCATATTCATTATACTTTCCCAAAAGATCCATCAGTATGGGAAGTGATATGTTAATATCTTCTAGAAATAACAATATATCGTCCGCAAATAATCCGATCCTTTGTTCTCTTTCGTTGATCATAATCCCCTTTAAATCCTCTTTCTCCCGAATCGCTTGAGCGAGTGGCTCAATGTATAAAGCAAAAAGGGTGGGGCTTAATCCGCAGCCCTGCCTACATCCTCTACTAAGTTCAAACCGGTCTGTCAGAGATCCATTCACTTTTATTCTTGCGGTTGGCTTATCATAAATTGCTCTAATACATTGAACAGAGTCATTAGTAAGGCCAAATTTCTCCAACGTTAGATATAGGAAATCCCAATTTACTCGATCGAAGGCCTTTTCTGCATCGAGGCTGATCAAGGCCGCTTTAAGCTTTTTGCTGGAGATATTGTGAATCACATGTAGACTTCTTCTGATATTATCTTGCGTTTGCCTACCAATTATAAAGCCAGTCTGATCCTCATCAATTATATCAGAAATAAAGGTTTCAAATCGTCTAGAAATTATGGATGTATATAGCTTATAGTCCACATTTAAAATTGATATTGGTCTATAATTGGCACAATTATCTCTATCTTTATTTTCTTTGGGGATCAGCGTAATAATTGCTTCCTTCCATGATGGAGGGGTCTTGCCTTCTTTATGGATATAGTTTAAAGCTCTAAGAAGAAGCGGCTTCAATTCTACCTTAAAAGTCCTATACCACTCGGCGGGGAAACCATCACTACCTGGGGCTTTATTTGCCTTTAGTCTATTTATTGCTTTATCCAGTTCTTTTGATGTGATTTTTGCTAATATTCTTTTATTTTGTATTTCTCCTATACAGGGAAGGTCTAATTTGTCTAGGAATGCTCTAATCGACTCTTTGTTAGAAGCGCCCTCTAGTGAATATAATTTGCTGTAGTACTGATAAAAAGTGTTTTCTATTTCTTTTGGCTCAGTTCGAAGCTTTTGCGAGATAGGGTCTTTAATTTTCAAAATTGTTGAGTCCGCTTGTTGTTTGCGTAGTTTTCTAGCGAGAAACTTTGTTGATTTTGGGCCTAGTTCATAATATGCTTGTTTTGTAAATCTAGCTTTTTTCTCTACTTCATCATCTAAATAATTTTCAAGTTGCATTTTCAATTTTTGAATTTCTTTTTGAGTGTCTTGATCTTTTTTCAAAATGAATTTTTCCTCTTTATCTTTTAAATCTTTAATTAATCTTTTATATGCTTCAATCCTAGTTTTCTTAATGTTTGTTACCTTGGCTATTAGTTTTCCTCGTAAGACAGCTTTTAGCGAGTCCCATATTATTGATGGATCCACCTCCCCATTGTCATTTTCTTCTATAAATGTTTTGATGTCCTGTTTGACAGATCCAACTACTGATTGGTTGTTAAGGAGGCCCACATTTAATCGCCATACAGTATTTTTGGGGTTATTCTCCAAGTTAAGAGTTAAATATATTGCGCTGTGGTCTGAAACATCAGTGACTCCGATCTTGCATTCGGTTACCCTGTAGAAATCTTCCTGTCTCATTATAAAATAGTCTATTCTTGAATGAACCAAGTGAGGCACTGAGTAATGTGTATAGTCCCTCATAGTTGGGTGGAGCTTCCTCCACACATCCACCATGCCAGTTTCCTCCAACAAAATATTTAGTAATTTTGTAAGATTTCTTTTACTCCTATTTTTACTTGTGGTATCTAGTTTCAAATTTAAGACTGAATTCCAATCCCCTCCACATACACAGATCCCTTCCGCTTCTGCTGTGAGTGTATCAAAGAATTCTTTATAAAATGTTGTTTCGCATTCCGGTGGTGCATAGATGTTAACCAATGTCATAAGATTATTATTGATTTTACCCTTTACTAGAATATATCGACCCTCCTTATCCTTTATTTCTTTAAAAATATCAAGCTTTATTTTTTTGGTTACAAGTATTGCAACTCCCCTCCTATGACTTTGTGAATATGAGCTATAAAATATATTGTAACCAAATTTAATAAGTTTTTCATGCTCCGAAGCTCCTAAATGTGTTTCCTGTAGCAAGATGATGTGCATATCGTCTTTCCTTATCTTATTCATCACCCTTGCCCGCTTTACTGGGTTACCTAATCCATTGACATTCAATGACATTAATTTAAGCTTCTGACTGTGCATCATAAATGCGAGGTGGTTCAGATTGGTTGCTTGTCTTATAACCATGAACTTTGAACATGAACTTTGTAAATAAAAATAAAAACAAAACTGAACTTAAAGCAACAGAACAAATAACGTTAAACTGAAAAAAGGCTTCCAAGGCAGGGTATTTGCAATTCCCCCATTTCGCCAAAATAAGGTAAGGGGGAAAGCCTCCCTCTAAGAGAGGACCCCCTCCCAGAACCAGCGTATAAAACAACAAGAGCTTTTCCACTAATTCTACCTTAGGCGTTTTAGCTCGTTCAAATCAGACTATTTGAATCATAAAAAAGAGTGACAATATTAGTGTTTACATCATTGACAGTCTGTGACAAAAAGCAACTGAACACACAGCTCTTTGGAACATAGCTAGTACCTATTTCCCTCAGGTCTCCACGTCTTTGTCTTCTCGGATCAAGTAGTGAACTTCCGTTGGAATTCCTGTAGCCGTTCCCGTGCTCTCTTGGCTGTCTCCTTCTCTCCGCGCCGGGGCATGCGTTGCCATGGCGATGTTTGGTCCAGTCTTCGGGTCGCTGGTGTGCCAGTTCCGCTGGTATTATCCACACCGAGGTGGCCCTCAACTAGAAGACCTCGGCGATGCAGATCTCTTTCGGCTTCCTCAGCGCTGTTGTAGGTCTGTTGGCCACTCTCCCAATGGATACGCAATCGGGTGTATGGCGTCTGGAAGCGTATGCCGTTCTCTTTCAAAACAAGCTTAATCTTTTTGTAAGCTTTGCGTTGCTGGATCACGTCTGTTGTGTAGTCGTGGTCAAAAGAGAGAAATTTATCCCCAAGCTGAATCTTCTTTTTCCAGGCGTTTCTGAGAACCGCTTCTTTGACTCTATACTGAAGAAAGTTAACAACTATTGATCTCGGGGGGGTGTCGGGGGTCGGTTTCGGGCCAAGTGAGCGGTGTGCGCGTTGTATTTGGGCATCAGTCCCTTCTTCAATAAGTTTTTCGCTCACCAACAGCTTCTCCACAAATTGAATCACAGAGGGACCTTCCATTTCCTCGCGTACCCCGTATATTCTGAGGTTGTTTCGCCTCCCCCTTGACTCCAAATCGTCAACTTTTCCCCGCAATGCCCTTTGCTCTTTTAGTGACTCTTGGAGCACTTCATTTGCCACTGCCGACCAACTTTCCAATTCCTCAATTCGCGCCGCCGCCTCCTCGAGTTTATTGTCATGTTCTTGTAAGGATAGCGTCGTAGAAGCTAACTGTTGGTTAATCTGTTGTCTGAATTCTGACAGTTCCTCTTTCACTTCTCTCTTTACTTCTTCTTTAAACGATGTTAGATCGGCATTTAGCTGAGTTCGAAGGTTGCTTATTTGATCGCTTATATCTTTCAAACTTGGTTGAGAAGTCGAGACACTGCTGTGTGCGTTTATGCTAGCATTGTTAGCATCTGGTGTATTCGGTTCACCTCCTTTGCGTCCCTCTTGTTCCGCTTTTCCAGTCATCTTTTGGTTTCTTGTTTTAGTACCCCCGCTCATATTCCGAGTCTTTTACCTAAACTTAGATAATATTAGCTGAATTCAAGGGGTTTTAATCGTCTGACTTTACGGAGCTATCGTTTCACACGTCCACCTCGTTCCGTCGCATACCGGAAGCCCCCGTGTGGTATTTTCAGGTCACTGACCTCCTGTGCATTCTCTTTCTCTCTCTGATAAGAATAAAGAGTGTTCTTTCTCTCAGGACCTCTCCCTTGACCAGTCAAACTGGTTCCTTTAATATGAAGATGCTACTAAACTATTGGTTGCCAACACAAACTCTTAACCTGTTTACCTTACCACCAACAGTGCTCTCCATGTTTCTCCTGTAACTATTTACACTCTCTGCCCACAATCTCCTATCTTTGTCTTTCTCTGGAACAGTGAAAATAAACCCAAGAATGGAGGCATCTGTGTTGCCAACCACACTTCACCCATCGATGTGATTATACTGGCCAGTGATGGATGCTATGCAATGGTGAGTGTGTGTATTCATGTGTATTTGAGAATAAACGTCAGAAGTTAAATAAATTGTGTCTGTGTGTGTTAAAGGTGGGTCAGATCCATGGGGGGCTGATGGGGCTCATTCAGAGGTCTATGGTGAAAGCTTGTCCACACATTTGGTTTGAGCGCTTAGAAGTCAAAGATCGCCATCTAGTGGCTAAAAGGTAACTCAGCATCAACACTTGTCTCATTTCTTTGGATTTTGAACAAAAGTGTTGTGGCCAGTTGCATAAACTGCTCAGACAAGCCTTGTTTTCTCTTCAAGGCCGGTCATAACTTTTTAAAGTCAGTTACATAAAAAGGTAGATTGGCATCATTTGAATTGGAAAAGTAAGACTGGTTTAACCCCTTGGTTAAAAGGGTCATGAATTGAGATATCAAATTTACTTTAATCTTTTGACATATCTTTTGAAAAATGGTCATTGTACTATACAAATATCCTGTAAGTTTCAGTACTCAAAACTTCCTTGTTTTAATGTGCCAAGTTATCTTGTAATCCTAACATTAAGAAAGCTTGGATTTATTTTCAATGAAGTTCCAGTCAGATTGCGTCAGTAAGACACTGTTCGTTTATTCACCTCATTTTACTGCAGATTCCATTTTAAACAAAACACAGTTAGACGCAGGCAAAAGATGATGCAACGCCAACTACATTGGATATGACCGTAATGTCGCAATACTCAAGTGTGAGTAACAGTGTTTTCACCATGTGTCACTATTGCTTTGTCTGATACAGATCGTTTGATGTATCGAGTATTTATACTGTAGCGCCGCAGTCAAACTGAACAGTTGTGATAGTTGTGATTCGCTGTTCTGACACGGAAGAAAGTACGTTAGAGAACGCTTTTGTTATTGTTCTGATCTAAGCCATTCACTGTAATTCTGAATAAAAGTTTCGCTGAGCAACATTTTTTTTGTCATCAGTAAGACATTACAACACTGTTCATTTTGTTTAAAACACAACACTTCAAATGACAATATAAGTTTTTCACTTTATCGAGAAGGATGAACTATGAATAGCCTTTAAGAACGACAATGTGACAAACAACGGTACATTCATTCATAATTCTATTTACCCGAAGTCATCCATTTAACTCCAAATACTTATGTTTCAAGTTTCAAGTTTGTATTTATTTATATAGCACATTTAAAAACAGCAAACAGGGCTGACCAAAGTGCTGAACAATACACAAGATAAAGAGCAAGGACAAACCACACATTCAAGACAAAAGGTCACAATGAGTTAAAAGCTAAAGAAAAAAAAAAAAGGTTTTAAGAGAAGATTTAAAAACAGTTAAAGATTGAGCAGCTCTGATGTAAACCGGAAGGCTGTTCCACAGCCTAGGGCCTGCAACAGCAAAGGCTCTGTCCCCTCTATTCTTTAACCGAGATCTGGGGACAGACAGAAGTCTCTGATCACCAGACCTCAGGTTTCGTGTGGGGTTGTGTGGGCAGAGTAGCTCAGACAGATAGCTTGGTGCCAGGTTATTTATGGATTTAAAAACAAATAAAAGAATTTTAAACTCAATTCTAAAATGCACAGGTAGCCAAGGCAGAGATTTTAAGATAGGTGAAACATGATCAAATTTGCGTTTTCTTTTGAGGAACTTTGCAGCAGCGTTCTGTGCTAATTGGAGACGAGCAATAGAGTGTTTGGGTATGCCAAAGTAGAGAGAGTTGCAATAGTCCAACCGCGATGTAATGAGCGCATGGATAGCAATCTCTAGTGTTTTCTCAGAAATGGAAGATTTAATTTTAGAGAGAAGTAGTAACTGAAAAAAAACAAGCACAAATCACCGCATCGATGTGTTTTTCAAATTTCAGGTTTTGATCCCAGAGAACACCTAGGTTCTTAATGCAAGATGACTTTGGATCAAGATAGTCCAGATCAATGTTGCTGCTATTATAGTTGTCATGGGGGCCAAAGACTATGACCTCGGTCTTGGATTCATTCAAAAATAAGAAATTTTGAGAAAACCACATTTTTGCTTCTTCTGGGCATGCAAAAAGAGATTTTAGAGCAGTATCTTTGTTGCGTTTCAAAGGAAAATAAATTTGTGTATAATCTGCATAGCAGTGAAATGATACACCATGCTTTCTGAAAATGGAGCCCATAGGAAGTAAATATATGGAAAAAAGAATGGGTGCGAGAATAGACCCCTGCGCCACTCCACAGGAGAGTTGAGCTGGCGAGGAAGAAAAATTACCCAGTTTAACAGAGAAACTTCTATTTGTTAGATAAGATCTAAACCAGCTGAGGACAGTTCCCTGGATGCCCACAGAGTATTCTAGTCGAGATAATAGAGTTTTATGATCAACTGTATCAAAGGCCGAGGTTAAGTCTAACAGTATTAGGATCACAGAGTCACCAGCATCGGTCGCTAACAGTATATCATTAGAAACCCTTAGAAGAGCAGACTCCGTGCTGTGCAGAGGCTTAAAACCAGACTGGAAAGTTTCAAGAATTTGATTTGCGCTAAGATGAGATTGGAGTTGATTGAGAACCGTTTTCTCCAGTGCTTTTGTAATAAAAGGAAGGGTTGAAATAGGTAGAAAATTATTAAAATCCCTAACATCGAGTGAAGGTTTCTTGAGCAGAGGTGTAACAGTAGCTTGTTTTAGTGTATCAGGGATAGTCCCTGTGCTCAAGAATTTATTCATAAGAGACACCATACATGTTCCAACCGAATCAAAAGTTTGTTTCAAGATACGGGGAGAAAGAACATCAAGAGAGCAGAGAAATTATGCTTTATTTGCCACAAGCAAGACTTATAAAGCATATGTAATAATATGCATAAATGTTTCACATGGTTGGCAGATGTTTCAACTATGTGACAATATATTTGTCAAAATCTGAAGTTTTCAAAACAATTCCACACATGTAATGACAGGGACGTTTAAAATATTTTAATATGCAAAACTGTTTACCTCTCATAGCAGTGGTGTTTACTTCCAAGTCTTGAATGCGGCACGCCTATCACAACTGAGTGTTCGAAAGAGAGGGTCCAAACAGGATAGAAAAAAAAAGTATTACTACTAAATTACCGTAGGATGTTTTTTGATGACCCCTTTAAATGACCCAGAGCCTAAAAATTACACTACTTTTTTTTCTTTCAAATATCGTATATCAGTCTATTATGATAAAATATTATCTTTAAATGTATGCTTTTTTTTTTCTTTACATATGTTTTGGTGATTTATTTTATTTGCTAGATTATATTTCTAGATTCTTGAATTGTACTATTTTAATTGAAAATAATCCTTTTTTTAGATTGTTTCACAAAAAATGCCTCATTCCAGTCCAATTCTAGTGAAAACATTAATTTACATTTTAAAAAATTACATTAATCTGCATTTTATGAATACTGCTGCTCGAGGAGAGGGGCCTAAAGTTTCTCTTTGGATATTTTATATAAAGCAAATAAACTGGAATATGGGAACAAAACTCCAATTTGAAACTTAATTTCGCTTTTTATGCATTTATAGATATATTTAGACATTTTAAAATAAATCTTTTGTAAAAAAATTAAAAAAAAAATTACTTTTATTATGTATTTTTTATGTGTGAGTGTTGTACATCTGTGTGTTTGTGGGTGTGTTCTGCATTGGGGATGTTCTATAGTCTCATCCCTTTATTTGAGCGTGTTTGTGGTGGGGTTATGGGGTCAAATTGACCCATGATGGAAGGATATGTTACTATTTTCATTACAACCACAAAAACTCCTAGAATCCAGTCAATTGTTTTTGTGTATTCCCATTTCAAATTTGAAAGTTGAAAGCAAACTCTTAGACCACTCAGACAAACACCTGATTCTTAAAAATTGTCAAAATGACCCAAAGAGAGGAGTAGGGTTAATATAGTGGTTAAGTTTATGCAACTGGTCCCTGGATGATTCTTCTAAAAAATGCAAATTAACATTAGTAGTTCATGTATCACACTGAAACTGGTTCTTTTATAACACTCAATTATCGTTGTTGTCATTAATCAAATGCGTTTTATTTCAGGTTGAGTGATCATGTAAAAGACAAAAGCAAACTGCCTATCCTCATATTCCCTGAAGGTAAGCTGAACTCATTCTCAGAAAGGATTATTGATGTGAAAGGGAAACTAGGGGATACTACCCATTTTTTTTCTACATACACTACCATTCAAAACTTTTAGGGTTGGTAAGATCTTATGCTTAAGATGTACCTTATTCTGCATTTTTTTTAATCAAAAATACTGTAAGATATTATAGTTATTATATAACATATATTATAGCAATTCAAAATAACTTTTTTTGTTTGAATATATATATATATATATATATATATAATGTTTTTTTTTAAATATACATATTTGTTTAACTTTACTAACCCCAAACTTTTGAATGGTAGTGTATATTATGTTAAATTCAAAGGTGTCATAACTTCACAGCAGGAAACATACTGGACATCCAAAACTCAAAATTATTGTTTGTTGAACATTTCTTACAAAGTGAACTGGGGCCAGTTGCATAAACATAGCCACTATGTTAAGACTGTGTCTTAAGAACTAGTTGGACCAACTAGAAATTAGTTAGGGCTAATCAGTCTTACTTTTCGGATTTCAAATTAGACCAATCTACCTTTTTGTGTAAGACGTTTATGCAACCGGCCTTGATCACTCTTGATTTTTTTTTTTCAGGCAGAGAAAGAATGTGATGGAAAAACATTACAATTGCCCCGTTACAGTTTCTCTTCTAATAAGTGTTTTACATATGTAAGCTTATTGTGACTGCCATCACAAGTGACCTGGTTGTTAATATGGTCTTCTGTTTGTTTCATGTGTTCATCATATAATTTGTGTCCAGGTACCTGCATTAATAACACATCAGTGATGATGTTCAAGAAAGGAAGCTTTGAAATTGGCTCGACTGTCTACCCCGTCGCCATAAAGGTCAGAAAATATCACTTCCCTAATGGAGATTTCGGGTTAGGGATGTGAACAGACCTTGATCCTTAAATATTAAACTTTGGTGGATGGCTCGTCCTGCGTTTGTGCAGGGTTTAACTGCATTGATAATATTTTGGCGGCCGTATAAACATGGTACATTTCAAAATTTCACTAGTTTATTCTTCCTTAAAGGGTTAGTTCACCCAAAAATGAAAATTCTGTCAGTAATTACTCACCCTCATGTTGTTCCAACCCCGTAAGACTTTCGTTCATCTTCGGAACACAAATTAAGATATTTTTGATTAAATCTGAGAGCTGGATCACTCCTCCATAGGCTTCTTAAGGGATCGAAACTGGCCGGCCCAAAAGTTATGAAAGACATTGTTAAAATAGTCCGAGTGACTACAGTGGCTCAATCTTAAGGTTATCAAGTGACGAGAATACTTTTTGTGCGCAAAAAAACAAACAAAAATAACGACTTTATTCAACTATTCATTTCCTTCTCTGTACGGCCGTGATATTTCACGTAGTGAAACAACGCAAAGCTTCTAGGTTGTGATCCAGCTCTCAGATATAATAAAAAATATCTTAATTTGTGTTACGAAGATGAACGAAAGTCTTTCGGGGTTGGAACAACATGAGGGTGAGTAATTACTGACAGAATTTTAATTTTTGGCTGAACTAACCCTTTAAAATAAACGTGTGAATAGTGTTGTCAAAGGTACCGACTTGGGTATTTTAAAATTGAAAAAATGCATTTTCCCGCCTAGCATTTTGAGCGCTGTTGAGCGGATTCTTAAACACTTCTGATTGGCCATTGTGTTCTGGCTCTCAACATATATGTCTGTGATTGGCTTCAATGATCAACGCTTCCAAAACATGTTGTAAATAGACATATTTGACGCTCTTCACCGAGCGCTTACACAGGTACACAGCACGGGAGCGTTTGAAAGCAGGTGTCTATCAGTGGATCCCTAATATATCCACTGATAGATGGATCCGCTGATAGACGCCTGCTTTCAAACACAGGATTGACAACCGTATTTATGTCTGATATTAAATCTGATATGTCAAATGATCTGTGCATTACGTCTCGTGTAAATGCAAAATAATTGATCTACCACTTTTTTATGTAATGTGTACTTTTTGTTCATTTTATTAATAACATTTCAAATCATTTACTCTTTTAAATCATTTTACATATACATTTACAGATTTTTTTATGTAAAATCGTTCTAAGCACTTCGTTTTATGATCTGTCCTGACAGTGTTTTTTTAATTTCATGAAAAAAATAGGATAAGTTAAAATTACAAACTGTTTCTTTGCATTTATTTTAGATTTATTGTCAGTACTGGGCTCTCAGTTCACATGGGTACTGTACACGCAGTTCAAAGTACCCACGTGAACTGAGAGTGTTGATGACCCTGTTCATCCGCCACCACTGAAAACCATTTTTGACCCAGGAAAAACCCTGTTGTGCTATGATCGTAAACGATACCTGAATTATACACACGGTTGTCTGAGACCACTAATAGGTAGATAGATGGATGCTTTAATCCTTTTCAGGAAATTAGATTTGTTACAATAGCAGCAACCCCGTTCAGTCCTCGCACACAGACAACATCAATCTATCTACTTAACTACATTCATAAAACAAAACTTTCACTAAAGAATTTCACTATACCCTGTAATATATGAACTAAAACATGCTATACCCTATAATTATAATACTAAAAACAAATACACTAACAAAATTAACTAAAGCATACAGCCCCTATTTTAATAATACTAAGACCATAGGTAAAACATATTACAAATAAATAAATAAATATAAATTAGACTCAGTTATTAGTTATTTTTCATGCTACATTAGTTAAATTAGTTAACAGTTTGACGTTTAACAAGTTGAACTGAAAAATTACCACACATTTTTGATAGCAGCAGTCAAGCGGCATGAATTCCACAAGTTTGTGTGAAACCTGATGATCGTGTATCAAAATAACCCAAAGAACATCGTGTGGAAATGTGACCTTTTGAATAAAGGAGTTCACATGATTCATGCCACTAATTTGCTTATCAAATCTGTGACCTAGAAATACAGCATAATCTTGTTTCTGCACAAAATCTTTAAAAGAAGATATATTCATTATTGTGGAATTTTAAGTCATGTTTTTTTATTTTACATTCTTTCTTTCACTGATCATTTACATAGGCAAATGTGCCCAGTGCCCATTCATGTGCCTTTTACACTTGAAGCATTTATTATTCCAAACTTAAAGATTTTTTTCAACTAGGAGTAATGTTCTGTCTAAAGAACTGAGCAGAATGAATGAATTTGTGTTTTTAATGCTGCTGCTGGTAGACTGTAAGATTTCACTCTCTTGTTTTGATCTGTGAAGCTACTTTCAAAGGTTCCTCCTCGTTTACATCCTCTCGTACTTTATGAGCTTTTATGGTAAGAAAAGTGATGAAGAGCAGATAATTAGGGATGTTGATGTCCTAATCAGTATTTGTTAATAATAACTTTACTGAAGCAAGATAACACTAACCCCAAAAGAGGGTCTGGATGGAGCAAGCTGTTAGTCTGGCTCTAAGACTTGTTTTCAGAGAAAAGATCTTGAATTATTTTTGTTTTGTATTAGCTTGCAGGAATATGTATTTAAAGCAAAAAATGTAACTATATTTTTAAAAAATTCACATTCAATATATTTTTTTTAATTTTATTTGTGTGTGTGTGTTTTGTTGGTGTTTTTTAAGCATAAATATCACTTAATTTCCCCATTCCCGTGGCCAGTTAGTAGAGCATGGCACTAGCAACAGCAAGGAGTTTGATTTGTATACAAATGTATAGAAAATATTGTATATAAAAATTATATTTATACTACGGGGCTGTTGAATGCTTGAATCGGATTGTTGACAAATGTTCTAAGGTGTGCAATTATTTTCAGGGAAACGCACGGCTTAAGTAGTTCCAGGCAGGTCTTGACCGCATTACATGTCCATATCACTTTGCCAAATGATTTCAGTTATTTTAAAGGTCCTTGTAGCCTAAAACTAGCCTGGTCCCACCAGACTCAGGGACATTTCATTTGTACAGAGAGTCTGGCCTCGCTCCATTGACAAGCGTTAACTTCCTTGTAGGCGGGTACTCTGTTGAAGTTTAAAACTATTGGATCTGCCCAGAGTCACTCTGGATCTGCCATAACCAATCGCTGACGTTTGGTCGTGACGTATGACGAAAACCACTCAAACTAGTGCACGGCATCAACGTCATCGTTCTCAGCCACTCCCTCTGTTCGCTGATTGGACCGGTAAAAAATTGACCGGAGAAAACCAAAGAATACACCACAATCCGAGACGTAGTACTGAAGGAAAATGAAAATTGAGCGGAAGTACGTAGGAGGGCGGAGCCAGACTAGCCTAAAACAGCAAAAGAACCAAAACCCACAACGACACAGACCAAGCAAATAAATATAGTAAACAATAAGATAAAAACATCACATTTCCCATGTTTTTTGCCACAAAATTTTATTATGTACGGAAACACATACAGTCTTTCTCCCGCACTCTCTCCACTCAAACGCACACACATACAGTATGGACACACACACACAGAAACGTGTTGCCAACGTTGCTCTGACGATTTTATCAATAAAATAGTTTAACAACTTAAAAGCTACATGACATTTCTCACTAACGAGGTAATAAAAATGCTGTTCTTGAAGCAGATATACTTACAGTTTCACTATTAGTAGAGACGCTGCTGCCGAACACTGTTGAGAGATGCACAGACTCAGGTAACTGTTTTAGTTTGCTATCAATGGCTTAAGCCTTTGTTACTAGCTCTAAAATTACGTTTTGGAATTAGCAACGGAGGCATGGGATGAGATGCGTAGGAAATTAGTCCTACACACAAGAACGTTTTTAGGACAACCTGACAAATGTCTTGAAATGCATCATTTGAACAATGTCTTGAGGTGTGGTAACCGTAGCATAAGCAGAATAATTGACTCCGATCAGTTGAATTATTAGAAAATAATGCACACCCGAGGTGTAATGGCCACACGTAATTCATCGAACATATATTTGTAACAAGCGAAAACAATTCACAACGAAAGGAAAACTTAATTCATCATCAATCATTATGAAATTATGTTTTTATCTTTCATCAGCATTGTGATGGGGATTACACTGTATTTTATTTGTGTCTTTGTGCTTTTGCAGTATGACCCTCGGTTTGGGGACGCCTTCTGGAACAGCAGTAAGTTTGGGATGGTGAATTATCTGCTCAGAATGATGAGTAGCTGGGCCATCGTCTGCAGTGTGTGGTACCTGCCTCCGATGAGCCGCCAGGTAAGGCCGGCATGCACGCAAACTCTTCATCTCTGTGAATGCAGTAAAATCTCTGTGGTATGAATGCCCCATTTTTGCATTGGTCCATTTAATACACAAATCAAGCACAAATGAGCCTGAGTGGAATTGGACAGCCTGTCTGAAGTTTTGTCCACCCACCTCAGATTGGAAAAAGGCATTTGTTTTTGCATGTGGGCATGCAAATAAACAAATAGACCATTGTTTTTAATGCATGTGTAGGCTCTCGGCTCTCCAAAAAAAAATGGAAATGGTCACCATAGGTAAATCATTGTGCTAATTTGTTCCGCCCCACCTTGAATGTTACAGAAGTTCTCTGGAAAATCACTGGAATAATGTTGAAGCCCTTCCTTGGTGTACTTATTGCTTGTTTTAAAGTGCTCCTATAATGCGTTTTCGAATATTACTTTTCATGCAGTGTGTAATAAATAGCTGTTTGGGAATGCAAAAGGTCTGCAAAGTTTTTAAGTCCGCCTGTAGTCATTAATTTTATCCCTTCCCTTAGTCTCATCTTTCATCACCAAAATTACATATTAAATTTTTTTTTTCCTTGAAAACACCTTGCCTCATTTAGTATACGCGGTTCTATGAATATACAAATTAGCCCCGCCTCCACTCACTCACGCCAGCTCAGAGATCCACTTGTTGACGATCACACGTTGACCTGATTAGTTACATGGTAGTATGTGACGTCAGAAACACCAGCGATTTCAAACCGCGTTTTTGAGACTGTCTTTGGTTCACTGCAGTTTTAAGGAGAAAATACTCGGCAATGGTGTTATGAATTTGCACATGGTTTGTCTTAAAGCATATTAAAAACACCACATAGACATATAAACAATATTAAAAGCTGTATTATCACCACAGGGGGACTTTAAAGATTAAAGTTCATGACAAATAAAGTTATTTTCCTTTAAAACAAAGAATCGATTTTGAACTGCTGAAACGAGTCATCAGCAATTCCAGTCTCGCTTCCTGTTACTTACAATGTAACAAATTTGCTCTTCATTGGCTGCCTGTGAACAACGTCTACTTTGACCTGCCCTCAAACACTGTAGTTGTAGCTGAGGCCTGGAAAAGTTTGGTTTGTATTGTCTAAATGTTGCGAATCCACTTTGCATGCATTTTAAAACGATGAGGACTCGCGCTGGAATTGATACGGAAAAACAGACGCCATTGAGATTGCTTTGGTTCACTGTGTATCAAGCGTTGAGGAAGAAATTCAGAAATGATAATAGTCGTTTCATTTCTGACATGTGCTGTAAGCGGTAGACCAATCACAACAGACTGGATTGTTTGACCAATCAGAGCAGAGTTTAGAGAGACTGAATCTTTACACAAACTGTTTTCAGACTCTTTATGAAATATCATCATGTGCCATGTATACTATGAGAAAATTGAAAGTGTTTTTTGACCTTGGATGTATGCAAACCTATTGTAGGAGACCTAAAACAAAATTAGGAACCTTTAAAATAGCATAATGGGGCACTTTAATATTTAAGCAAAATTACTATTGTTTTAGATAAACCTGCTATTAAAGGGATAGTTCCCCAAATATGAAGATTCATAACGCACTTACATACAAATTTTGTTTGTGTCTGTTTGTTTATGAAAGTCATACACATCAGGGATAACATGAGGGTGAGTAAATGATGAGAGAATTTTGGGTGAACTATCCCTTTAATAGAATGTGCTGAAAATAATTTCAAACTCTTAAAGCACAAGATCAAGGTTTTTGTCAAGGTCTGTTTTGTCTCCCTCAGGAAGATGAGGATGCCGTGCAGTTTGCTAACAGAGTAAAGGCAGCCATTGCCAGACAGGGTGGTCTGGTGGACCTGCTGTGGTAAGTCGGACTCGGCTATGTTAAGGCCAAAGAGAAGTTATACAAATACTAATATAAGCCGTAGATGGAGAGATATGTGACAGCTGGCTGTTTTAAACCAGAAAATGTCTGGTCTTGGCTGGTTTAAGCTGGTCTCCTAGCCTGACAAAACCCTTCTAAAACCAGCTACCAGAACAGCGGACAGACTAAAACCCAAAGTACACTTCCGTAGACGTCCACGCCAAAGTCCATTTCACTCGGCGGCCATCTTTGAAATGCCTCTCGGGCATGCAAGTGCAGCTCCTATCTCTTTGAATGGGGAAACATCAAATTCTCCAAAAATGTTCGCCAAGCTTACGATTAAATTTCATATTTGAAATCACCAATGAAATCTGACAACAACTGTCTCCTAAATGTTGTTTCTAAACGCTCGAATCATGACAGAAAAATGACAAATTTCAGGCTGGATCAAGCTAATGCGCATGCGTCTGACTGTTTCTATAGGAACCGGAGTTTCTAACGGCAGCTGCAGTGACCCAATGACTTTACCAATCAGCGATCGGCTCTTATTTAGAAGGCGGGACTTATTCCGCCATATTGAGCATTCTACTTTTCCCCATTCAAAACAATACGGGTGACTCATCTTGTGTTATTCTATAGTCTATGTCCACGCACACCGTCCGCATGCAACCCAATTTCTGTGTCCACACGGACAACAGCACATGTGCTAGTGACTGCGTGATGATAAAGTCATCTAGATAAATCCACTAGATAGTGCACATGTGCCGAACGTGTCTTTCCACGCTTGAGGCCAAAGGAGTATACTTTGAAAGGCTCACACTCTCAACTTTGCACGAGACAAAGTGTAACGCGCCGTAAAATATAGTATACCCGGGGCTTGAGAGACCGGCAAACCAGCTTAGCCATATTAAATTCAATTCACATTTGTTTAGCGCTTTTCACAATACACATCGTTTCAAAGCAGCTTTACAGAAAATGCATGAGTCCACATTACAATTTAGAGTGATCTGTTATCAGAGGGAACTGTCTAAGTTATGTATTTCAGAAATCTACATATACAAAATCACAGTTAGCGTGATTGAGCGCAATGAGCTCATTGAAGTAATGAATACTTGTTTGTTAACAAATGATTATGACATTTAGAAAAATGTAGCATTGGTGCATGTTGATTGAGACATTAGATATTAAAGCTGGTTTTCTCAGCTAAATGTCCTTTTAGTTGAAACTGGGTTTGTGTTTTTCTTTAGGGATGGTGGTTTGAAACGAGGGAAAGTGAAAGACGCTTTTAAAGAGGAGCAGCAAAAAATCTACAGCAAGATTTTGGTTGGAACGCAAGCGGACCGCAGTCGTTCTTGAGGAGAGGATGATGATTCAGGTGAGGACCTGGAGGGCAAGAGACGGTTCAGAGACCCGGAACAACGGCGTTATGGATTTGTTTCACTTCAAATCAAAGAGCTGTCCTTGTTTAATTATTCCTTTTTGTGAAAAGGATCAAAGCTTGTCGAGTGTTAGGTCAGGTCGTGATCAAAACACTCCACGAGATGCGTTTTGATGCGTAGTGTTCCTTTGACCGAAGCCAGAGTAGCGTGTTTCAGTCTATAGTGGCCGGGTGGCTCACGAGGAGTCATAAGGATGCAATGTGATAGTTTAATGGTTTCTTTCTCTTTTTTTTTTTATCATTTACTCTTAACGTATCATTAGGATGCAATAAACTATTAAATCTGATGGCCATGAATGGTTCAAGGAAACGCCTCATCAGGCTGCACGTAGGTGTCCGAGAGTTTTCCGTTATGCACTTCCATCTCTCTGCTGCGCAAGTCACTTTAATCCTGGGTTTTAACTGGAGAAAACAGCAGAAATATGCATGGCAAACCTGTAATTTAATTTGAAGATGAAGTTTATACTAACCTTTGCAGACATGTAATCTGCACTGACCTTTCAAAATACCTCCATGTAAACAATCAAGCCAATCAATGTGTGAAGGGTTTGAGAAGAATTGGTTATATATTGTTGGTTTTTTTTTTTTTTCCTTTTTTTTTCTTGTCTTTGTGTGCCAGATCCAGAAGTCTTTGCCATTTCCATTCACATATGGAAGTCAAACCTTAAGAGTCTTAATGATATTGGCCAAGTTACAGCCAATTGAAAACTCTATGAACTTTTCATGTTGTTCAGGTACTGCATAAATTCAGATTGAAAACATTATTTGTGATGTTTAAACAACACTATGCTGCATGTACCGTATACATGTTTCCTAAAGGATTTATTTTTATTTTCAGATCAACCAACCCTAAAATTGGGACATCTTGTTAAGCAATAACAAGACTATTTTAACATATATTTTTTTTAAATTACAATACATTTTAGCACAACAAAACTCAGTAACTCTGTTGCAAGTTTGGATCTATAACATTGCTTTCAAAAAGTGCACACAACACAGTTATTGGATCTCTTCTCATTTTAAATAATCTGATCTGACTGATTCAGATCATGACTCTGATGACTCATCAGACGATGACTGTTTGTCTGGTAATTAAAAACAACGTTGCACTATTGACCACAATTTTATCAGATTTTCGTGGGATTTGTTTTCTTTTCCTTTTTTTTCTGTTTAGACCAATGTGTAAAAAAGGCAGACATGAACATGTAGAGTGATAGAAGGAACAGTATTTACATGTTTTCACCAAATACAAGTGTTCAGAGACGAGAACTATGCTGCATCCCAGTTTGCCTACTTATACTACTCCCTAAAAGTATGTACAATTTTGTGAAGAAAAAGTACATACTTTTGACTGTGTAGCAGAAGAGTAGACAAGCTTTGTGAAATACTATCACCTCATTAAATTGTGTCTTTTAACAATGCCAATGTCACTTTATTTATAAAGCACTGTTGACCAATGTGCTGTACATAGCATAAACATAAACTCTATGAAATAAAACAAATAACAGACAATAAAACAGATAACATGACACTGTATCATCGATTAAAAGCTATTTCAAACAAATAAGTTTAACAGTCACTTTGTCGCATAGTTACGCCCATCTTATCACTGCAAACTGGCCTGCCAATCATCTTGTCACAGTTAACACATTTTAATTTCCTACCGAATCGGAGAGAAAAGAAGTAGCACTTTGATCTTGGTCTTTCATGTGGAGAAACTAATATTTTTGCATAATGATGCATTTAAAAGTTAATGGCCAAACGGATCTTTATAAAAGTTTAGTGTTGTTGCAGATGAAAGATAACATGAAATACTATTTTTTTATCAGGTTAAATGTTGATTGTTAGTCTCTCAAGCCCCTTCATCTAAACCTCTGTAATTAACCGTCGGATGCGCACATCCACCATGTTTGTAGTTTTTTTAACACTTTGTGTTTGTAGTTCTGAACTGAATTCTCCTCCAAAGCGGTTGTGGGCAATATTAGCCGGCCCGTTAGAGTGTGCGCGGATCCACACTTTGAAAATATACCAGAAATAGTAGACCATCTGGGGACTCGTGGCATACTCTTTTCAATATACTATGCTTTTATTGGGACACACTTATTCTAATCTCACATACTATTTAGGATTGATTTGGGAGGCAGAGCCACTTCCGGTTTCCTTTTGTGCTGTTCACTGTCTCTTAGCAAAACAGTCTTTTTGTTGTCATAGGTTTATGCAACAGCAGTGGCTTTGGGCATGTGTTACCAAAAGGGCAAATCCTATTGGTTGGCCAATTTTATTTTCAGTGCAATGGAAAAGAGATTAGAAAAGTGTTGGATTTACAGCATGCTAATGTTTGTGTTGTTCAAATTAAAATATTTATTGTGCCGAATTTTCGCATAGAACATTAAGGCCTTAACTCGGCTAAGAAATTGCCATGGTGTTGCAAAAAAAACAACAAAACATTGGCATAACAGCTAAATACTGTGCAGGAGAAAACACTGTATGCAACTACTATCTAGCTCTAGCTCTAAAACTAAAACACTAAAGGGCTCATAATGAACGCTAGTAGTTTCACAACGTGAACCCTTTTTTGCTCTGTAAAAAGTAAATGTACCACAGGTCTTATTTCAGGACTATGTTTGGTTACAACCACTGACAAACAAGATGTTACTTGTTTAGCTTATTGTGGTAAAGCTTGAGTGACATGAGCCACATGTGTAAAGCGGTTACTTAGTCACTTCAGCTTTTTGGCTTCTAGTGAATATGATTAGTTTGTATTGGATGACATCTCATTCTCAAAAAACACTCAAGCTGTGAAGTTCTGAATATTAACCTTCATATGGGTGTGTGCAGCCATCTTGCACCAACTTAGATGGTTATTATTAGGATTTCTCATTCAACCATCATCATAATCATGTCATTAGTCGTTTGTAAGAGCAGCATGTCTCACAGAGAGGCATGTACAGTACAATGGAGTTTTGATTCAAGAAAGTGTGACATGTATTTAAATAAAATTATCCCTCTTCCACAAGCTTGAAAGTGGAATTGAATTGGCCCCATGTTGTGTTACTCCACTAATTACATCTTTAAAGACAAGTCTGCATGTAATAAAGTTTTATTGAGTATAATTAAAGCTTTAGATCTCTACTGTGATCTGAAAAAGTACGACCGCATACCAGCGTGCGAAACAATTCAGCTGCTGGGCTCAATGTGTGGGAATGACTCTTTTCTCTACACGTTTAAACCAGTTACTGAGCGCATATAAATGTCTCTGTGGAAACGCAGGGAGAGTGTGTGTAAACATGTCAAGGATTTTACTATATACAGCTGCTCATGTTTTCAAGGACTCTGGTGTAGTTCTCGGCTTTATGTGGAGGTTCAACTGGAGATTTCATTGAAGCTCAGCATTGTGGGAGCCATTGATCATATAGGACTTATTCCAATTCACTGACATTGTGTTTGTATTTTCTCATATATTTTTGCAAATCATCTGTTTAGTATCCTTCTGGGATCCAGCAATTCAGTCTACTCTTTAAAACTTAAAACTGACAGGCTTTCCTGAGATACAAAACGTTGGCTGTTTCGGCTTGACAACTTCCTTTCATCGTTTTTAGACATTTCTGACATTTATAAAAGCTTCTGCTTCTGCAAAACAATGATTGTATTGAAATGACTGTATTTCAAAAAACTTTATTGAAGTTTAAAAAAGTAGCAGTTGTACAGTATTGTTTTATTTTGTAATTCACTAGCATTCAAAGGTTTTTGAAAGAAGTCTGTTATGCTCACTATAGCCACATTTATTATAATATATAAACATACAGTAAAACAGTAATATTGTGAAATATAATTTTTTTTTAAATAACTATCCTATTTTATTGTATTTTAAAAAGTTATTTATTCAGAATTTATTCAAAGCTTTATTTTTAGCAGCCATTACTCCAGAGTCACATGATCGTTAAGAAATTTTTCTTGAGCAACAAATCAGCATATTACAATGATTTTTTATTATTATAAATGTTGAAAAGAGTTGTGCTGCTTAATATATTTATAACATTATAAATGTCTTTACTTTTAGGTTTAATCAATTGAATGCATCCTCACTATCATCCTCGAGTGATAAGTGTATTATGTGTACATTATTATTTATAGTTTAGTTATTTGTTTATTTTTTAAGTTGTCAACCTGTGGGGAGACATTACAGGTCAACATTCTCATTGGTTTAGCTGTCATTGACGGCTTTTTTTTTTTGTATTGAAAGTTCTAAAACATTTGTTAATATAAACTTGCCTTTATTTTTTAATAAATAGATCCTGATGTCCACTATGAAAGAACAATAATGTTTTATGTTTCAAACATGTAATTGGAGGATTTAAAACATGACAAAAATCTTAAAACAAACACACCCACAAACTCTTTTTGCTGGCTCTCATGAGGATTTGTATAATTTACTGTGTCTATGACATTTTCTTTGATATTGTAGTAAGCAATGCTACTTTAATGCACAGTAGACACTACAACAATCTTAATATCCTTTAGATTATTCCATCCTACAAGAAGAAAGTGTGAGATTTGTACATTGTCATTAAATTGGAGTAATGTCACCATCCACATTAGGTGAGTGGGTGTGTGTGTGTGTGTTGACGGAACGCCTAACAATGTCATAACAATGTTGCCAGTGATTTGACTGCTGCCACGCTCTAAAACAGCACCTGCCAATACATCCACCTGTTTATCACTGTTCGTTAAAAATGTTCTATTGTGATACAGTCATGTACAACTATATATAATATGCCATACAAGAAAATAAAAAAACCTTCAACACAGCATTCTGTCAGTTTCAAGTTTATGATGAGAAGCGTTTCTAGTATCCTTTGCTTTTTGTGGCTCACCCATGGAAAGCCTGTCCTGGGCCTGCTGAGTAGTGATCGATCATGGAGGATTCGTTCATTTTGAACGGATCTTTAATATGTCTCGGGAACAACGAGTTGTCTCAGAGAGTGATTTGTTCATTTTGCGAACATCCCAAAGATTCTGTACAGGAAGCAGAAATGATTAGTTCACCTCCCAAGCCTTCGGGTCTGAGTCATTCGTTCTTTGTGACAGCCGTATTGGATTTGGAAATTAGTTAATAATTCCCAACCTTCCTTACAAGCAAGTTTTTGTTTTTTACTCTAACAGTTACGTGATGCGTCTCTGGTCTAAAATTGCTTACACTTTATCATTTTTTTGAATTTCTGAACTAGTCATTTCTGTTTCCTGTACAGATTGCAAAGCTTGAGCCGTTGGGACTGTGACGTGACAAAAGAACGAATGACTCGGATAGGGAGGTGAGGTGAACTAACAAGCCTAGACCCAGCTAAGCAAAGAAAGAATCATTGCTGTTTCTCATCATTTGGCTATGGCTTTACGTAAGTTAATGTGTTAGGGAATTTGGCTATAACCATGTAACATTTAAATTATATTCTGCTGAAATGAACAAAATGACTTCAAAAAAGATTAATTCATTTTGCTGAACGAGACTCAAAGATCCGAGTCAGTAAAATGATCCGAACGTCCCATCGCTACTGCGGAGGTGGAGCAGGCTGTAAAAACAAATGGAGAACTGGACATTGGTTTTAGGCTCTATATTGACGTATTACTGGAGAACCAGAGAGACAAGTTGTTCTGCCAGAGTCCTTTCACTTAACATGAATTATAAACATCCATTCAGCCCTGCCGTTGCTGGGCTGGAGTCTGACCTGAGAAACAGAATTTCCTTCATGGTGACATTTCACTTGAAGAGTGCCAACTCTTAGGTAACAATCGTGTAGACCAAGAGGGGATACAATGACTTCACCCAGCCAAAGAGCTGATGGATAGATCACATTCACAACACGCACAAAAAAAAAAAAAAAAAAAAAAAGTAAACCGCATGCTTATTGTTTTCACATGTTGGGTACAGAGGATTAGATTTAGATATTAACATATTTTTAAAATAGCCAATAGTTTTCATCTGGTGAATGTCACTCTTGCATTGCCATGGGATGAGTTCCAGATCTCCAAATCAGTTTCGGTGGAACATTCAAAATGACAAACTGACTCCAATTAAGTGTCTGCCAGGGCACACACCGAGCATGTGAACATGTGCGTCAGTTTCTGCACAATTACCTTACCTTTACCAGCTCTGAATCCATCAAACTAACTAGATTATGAACTGATGTCTTCATTTATCTAATTTGTTGTACTGCAACAGCACAGATGCAGAACAGAAACTATTTACATCTGTTTTTGATCCTAGTGTGATTTTTTTACATGATATATGCCATAATGCTATAAATATTACATGAGATGCTATAAATACCATGAATATTGCATCGTTATTAAACAATAACACATATTGTAGCTTAACCTGAGACCCAGAAATTTGCTTTCAATGGCTTTCTGTTGTTTGCACTCCACATAAGTTTGTGTAAAACCTGATTATCAAGTTCTCCAGCCTGATGCGAGTAGAGTTTACATGATTCATGTTACAAAATTATTTATTGGATTAGTGACCTAAAATCTACAAATTCCAAAAACAGATTTAAATGTGGTTGCAGACTTTTTACTTTAATGCTCTAATTCTCGCAGACATTTTTCTTTAATGCTCTAATATGTGGAGCGTGTGTGTATGTGTATATATATATATATATATATATATATATATATATATATATAAATATAAAGTATATACATGCAAATATTTCTTAAATATATACATGCATGTATGTGTATTTATATATACAAAATAATTATACACACTACACACACATATAATATGTAAACACAAACTTTTATTTTGGATGCGATTAATCGTTGCCCAGCCCTAATATATATATATATATATATAATTTTTTTTTTTTTTTTCAGGGGCGTTTCCTCCCCAAGGAAGGCAGTGCCTCTTCAAAAAAATGTATGAGAATAATCCATATTAGAGAAATAAGACAATGCAAATGTTACAAAATGTGATATTAAAAAGTGTATAAATTGCTTGTTTTTTTTTTTTAAGTAACACTGTGTAACAGCGACACCCGCAAATAAAGTTACAGTGGGAGTCCGTGTCTCTCTTGCCTCCCCTGAGCCCATTGACTTTTAACAGACCCCCTAAACTTTAGCGTGCGCTGGGGGGATTGTCATATTTTTGTCATTAATTTTTGAGAATGTAAGGCACACACACACACATGCCTATCTTCATAATTCTAGTTTTGAGTTCTAAAGTTTTAACTTTGTTTGCAATGCACTGCAATATACAGTGAAAGTCCAAAGTTTCAATACTGTCTTTAAGATGTAATGATTTAGAATGTATGTTAAACTGACATCTTAAAGATGTCTATCAGATGTTAGTAAACAGCAGATGCTTTCCAGATGAAGGGATCTTTAACAGACATCTTGCAGACGTACGTGTCCTACACAACCAAGAACAAAATTTAAACTTAGCCCGTCAATTTTCATTTTACAATTATCTTCTCTCTCTGTGAGCACTGATACAACGGTACTTTTTAATCCGTAAGTAACTAACGCGCTAGTTTTCATACAAAATAATTATGTAACATAAGTAGGTACTTAAGTTATTAACACAATAACGTAACACATGCAGGCTACGTTTCTCAACACTGAGAATGAATAAATAAACGCCTTTTTCTCCAGACTCGCGCTTCAGTCATCCACAAATCACAGGACTTTCATAATCACTAAGCCATAGTGATTTTAATTTTATTTAGATTTATTGTTCATCAATACTTAAGCATTTTATAATTTGCATGGCTAAATTATGTTTTTCTCTTATCTGAGTGACCATGAATGTACAGAGTATTTTAAGATAATCCATGCGATCACTCCCGTGTGATAATCGAATCCTATGGAAGCTTGTTTCCGCCACAGAATGAAAAATAAAAAAGGTAATTGCTTTTTATCTCACAATTCTGAATTTTTTTCTCACAATTGCGAGTTTACATCTCGCAATTCTGACTTTATTTCTCAGAATTGCGAGATATAAAGTCAGAATTGCGTGATATAAAGTCGCAATTGCGTGTTGTAAAGTCAGAATTGTGAGATATAAACTATTCTTAGGGGAAAAAAGTTAGTCTTTTTTTCCCCTTAGAATTGGCCTGATAACTCGCAATTGCGGGTTTATATCTCACAATTCTGAGAAAATGTGTCAGAATTTCGAGATAAACTCGCAATTGTGAGAAAAAAAGTCAGAATTGTGAGATAAAAAGTCGCAATTATGTCTTTTTTTCTCGCAATTGCGACTTTATTTCTCAGAATTCTCACTTCATATCTCGCAATTGTGAGATAAAAAGTCGCAATTATTTTTTTTATTAAGTGGTGGAAAATAAGCTTCCATAGAATCCAGATTAAGTTAACTCAATACAATATTTTCATCTTTCCACATCCACCCCAGCCCGTTTTCCTTCAGGAGTCAGAAGTACCGTGACTACTATACTGTCCTCGCTTATTAAATCAGTCAGGCGGCGGGCCGCGGAAGTGGAAGGGGCATCGAGCGGGATTCTTTATTGCTATTCTTTACCCTAACCCTAACCCTATTTTCAGTCTCTTTATAATTACAGCCCTTACGCATCTGTCAATCATCCCAGCTTGCTATTTGGGGAATGAACCCAGCGCTATGATTGGTCGAACTCCGCTTCTTTTGCTGTTGCTTGATTTGAGGACTGCGCGTGCACAGAGACGTCACAAGGTTTTTGCGTAGTTTCGAGTGACAAATCGTACCAGCGTACTTTGAGGTCAAAATGCGTACCCGCTACGCAAAATGCGTACAGGTTGGCAGGTCTGGGGTTATTATACATTATGGGGACAAAATTAATGTAATATGGGGACAAAATGTCAAATATGGGGACAAAATTTGTCCCCATTCGTTATGGGGACAAAATGTCCACACAAAGATGGCAATATCTGAAATCCTTGTCCTTGTGGGGAACAAGGAAAACAGCTTATCAAAAGTGTATAAAAAAAAATATATAATGTTTTTTATTAAAAAACGTATAAAGTTTTTTGAAAATGTAAAAATGCAGAAAGTTTTCTGTGATGGGTAGGTTTACAGTATAAAAATCATTGTCTGTGGAAAGTCCCCATAAAACATGAAAACACAACGTGTGTGTGTATTTGTGTATATAATACAAATTGTATGCAACACTTTTGTGTGTGTATGTGTGTGTGTACGTGACCTGACTGACAAATTCAGTAAGTACAGAAGGCCTAGATACCTCGCTTCAGTCAGGTCTGAATGACACACGGAAACTTTGACGCTTCGTACAGTAGCTCACAGTACTACATGTGTAGGGCGGAGCTTCGCATGCAACATAACATTGACAGCGCAACTAGTTTGGTTTAGTCTGAAACTGCAGGAGCTACAGATGCTTCGACGCTGGGTTAATTCAGCTTAAGAACCTAGTCCGATTACCATGAAGACAAGAGGAGAAATCCCTCCGTGTCCACCGCTGAGCAACTGAAGAAGAGAAACGCCGTGAATGTGAATGTTTCCTCATGACAGCAGGAGTAACGTTAGAGATGCGAGCGTTGCTCTCGTGGGCTCTGTCTTCAGGGCGAGATAGCTAGACTTTTATAATCTTATCTTTTAAGCCGTTTGTTATTCCTCCAATAAAGACCTGCGAGTGGGATTTCCGTCGTAAGATTAGACTTTTCTCCAGCTTGCTTCTTATCATGGAGACGTACACGGACGTCTTACTAGTCACTGCAAACGTTGGATCACTGTTTGACAATGTAAGTCGCCTCTGTTTACATTCCTTATTTTCCAGGTGGAATATTGCTCAACATCATAAATGAGTTAACGTACGCAACAAATTATTTTTACTTTTGTTATTTAAACCGGTCCCTTTGCAACTGCACGCAGTTGACTAACGTTAGTAACCTGCTGTTCAACGCTATCTGTTTGCTTAGGTAACTTAATCTTAAAAACAGTCGTTATATGAATATAGGTAGGCCAGATCACCCTCTGGATAGCTGCGTTTTAAAAGGCTCTGAATGCGCTATATTCAAGTCTGTATAATTGTATAACTCAATATTAAGGGGCCGTTCACAAGGGACGCGGCCATGCGTCATTCTGCGCTGTTTATTTTATATTATAATGTAAACACTGCATATTTGACAGTTTAATTTTCAGCTTTGTGCGTCTCGTTTTAAGTCGCCGTATCTAGTTAAAAGAAGTTCAACTTTTAAAACGCTTCTCGAGACGCCAGCGTTTTGTAGCGCTGCGTCTCGCTGTTTTTGAACGCAAGAACGCGTCCTGCGCGAGTGGCTCCGACGCCTCTCTCTCATCAGTGATAGAGCTGGACGTTCTCGTGCGGCTCCTCCATATCGCAGGGACTGCTGTGAACCCACTTCAGGTTTCCTTCGCTCCACTGGGCCTTTAGCACACGAGTCCCCAGTCTAGAGTGATATCCTCTCCCATTCACTGTGTGCTGTCTGACAGCACCTCCCCACAGGTCTCTAACGACCTATCACACACCGCGCGACCGGCCCTTGTGTGTATTCAAATAAAACAGGAAACTGACAGCCACAGCCTGTTGTTGAGAGATAATTCAAAGCGCTACCGCGAAACTGGGGAGTTTAGCTATTGCAACATCAGACTACTACTACAAACTCTGGCCTGCAGCTGCATTTATGAACTAGAATAAGACGGGAGAATGTTAGTCTATACAGAAGAGAGAGAAAAAATATATACATGGGCTTCATAATGAAATGAAGCGTAGTAGGCCTAATGTTGGCATTACTGCGTGTGAATAAAAATGCAATAGTTTATTGCAAGTTGTTTTTACATTATTTAAAACTGGAAGACCCATCCATTTTTATTACTAGTTTTACTATTACTTGTTTTCAGTTTCACTAGTACTTATTCAAGTGATTTGTATGTGATGATTTAAAGTCACCATGAAATCAAAAAAAAAAGAAAAATGTGTGTTTGGAATGTTGCAGTATTTATTATAAATGATTGATCCGTGCACATCATATTTTTTTAAAGTAATATGTTCTCGTAATTTTTTAAAGACCCACCGTGGTGAAAATCACATTTTTAATGTTGTTTATATGTCTATGTGGTGTTTTAATATACTTTAAGACAAACCATATGCAAATTCATCAGTCAACTGTCCAAAGACAGTTTCAAAAACGTGGTTTGATATCAAGTATGGTCTCTGCAGGAGAGTAATAGGAGTTACCAGATCAGTAGACGAGGCCATATAAACAGAGGAGCGTTTTTGATCGCGTCACCTGATTTGCCCACATCACAGTGAGGGTTTAGGGGTGGGGTCGGGTGAAGGGCATCATTTTCATTTGGATGATTTATAAACACCCACCAGTTTGGAAACACCCACAAATTTTGAAACACCCAATTTTGTTCTGCGAAATCGCCCTTGTCCTCTATGTCACAAATATGTTGTAACCAATCCCGTCAACGTGGCCGGGCTTTAGCATATAATTTGCTATGCTGTGAAGCAGGGGAGTGTCAAGAGAAGTCAGGTCCTGGTACATTTTCTGTTGATATGAAACATTTGGTACGTTTGCCAATATGCCGGGTGAATTATGTATATGATGTATGTATGTTACAATGTTATGATGAACTATGCCTTTCTCCACTGACGTTCTAAATTGTTCAAAGCGTTTGATTTTTAGAAGGCACACTGAAATGGCGAACTGGAACATGGTTTGTTAAACATTAGAAAAAAATTATTAGCTGTTTGAATAACATATAGCAAAAGGCTAATCATATTAATTACTGTTAAGTGTCCGACGTTGTAGGGAGCGATACATAACGCATTACCATTCTGATACATCGACTTGTAGAAGAGCCTGTTGCTATAATTCAATCTTCCATTCTTCTGAATCAGTTTCTGGTTCAAACATAAAATGACTGTATAACCCAGTATTTCCACTTGCCATCGTGTAGCGTTTACTACAGTAAAGTTGACCGAGTGGATCAGGTATTCTGGGCTTGTGTGATTGAGCAGAGGCGGGGCTAATTTGCAAAATCATGGGTTAAATGAAGCAATGTTGTAGAGTTACATTGAAGCTATTTTAATGCATGAAGAAATTATTTTCACAGGAAAAACTTTTAAGTATGTCATTGTATGGATCAAAGATGAGTTTTAAGGGATAACATTATTGACTGCAGTAGGACTTTAATCAAAGACATCTCTTCTCTTCTCTGATGAGGGTTTTCAGAAAAATTTTCAGAAGAATGCGAGGAAGAATAACCTGTCACTCATGAGATCAGAGCACTAGTAAACCACAACCATCCAATCAATTCCCGATAGACAAAAACAAGTCCCAACCTACAGTTTTTCTTGTTCACAATGTCAAGGGGAAGAAAAGACTATGACAACTTCCGTATCATTCCGATTTCTCTCTTCTCCCCGATCACTGTCTTGCCTCAACTGTCCTTTCTAATAAAGGCCAAAAATGTTGCTTGATGATAATATTAGTATAAAAATGGATTGTAGATAGTTTTAAAGAATAAAGGTCGAAGCCTGACACAGTGTGCTCAGTCGACTTTTAGGGAAACCATGATACCTTAAAACATGAAAATGTCCATAAGTGATGGTGGATAGTGGATATTTTGGTGAAAAAAACAATGGTTAAATAGACTGTATAAGTTTAATGCCAGCACCAGGAGATATCATATTGTGAAACCATAGACAGTAGACTAGTCTCACATGCAACAGTAAGACACTTTTAACTCTTTCACCAGCACCGCAGCATTTTTGATCATTTTCACAAAACTTTTTTTTAATGAACACACTATAAAAAGCAACATTTTAAACAAAATACTGAGAAAATTATGTTTTTGTCAAAGACCGGGTCAGATTCAGAACGATAGATTGAGTCCATCAACGTTTCACAGTCCTATACCTCATTCTGTGTTGACATTTCATTCAGTAGCATTTGGCAGTTTTGATTTATATGCTTTTTAATGTTTTGTGATCGTGTTAGCTTACATGTGCGTAAGCAATGCTTCTTTCGCTTGTTTTTTGGATCCGGAGATACTGTACTATTTCAGAAGATTTGTAATGGCATCCCCTCACCATATAACAGTGAAAACATGGATTGCTGTAAACTTCTGTCAAGCGTGGTTAAAGAGTTAAACTGGATAGAACTTTTAGCTCAATTTCTTCATCAAGTTTTTAACGTAAGTAGTTTGTCCAAGCGCTAAAGGCATGATTGATACCATGTCAAATCACGAGGCTTGATGAGGTGAAGGATTCTACTACATTTTGAAATAATTTGATTTCCAGATGTTAAAACTGGATAGAAAACTACACACTCACGCATTGCCTAAATGCCAGGCAATGCCCACTGATCGTTGGCTGATCGCTGATGCATATGGCACACTTATCTGGAAACACTTCAGGAGTTTCAAAGTCGTCATCTGATTGGTTGAATTCAGCAGGATGTCCGGGAGACGTGTGTGTTGCGTTTATTTAACGGTCCGCCTGGAAACAAATGCCGTGACACCAAATTCCCTCGTGGAAGAAGAACGCCGTTGTGTTTACAACTATCAATGAGCGCTTACCAGGATCAACTAAATGCTGGATTTTCAAAAGTATGTGAAATTCGCGGCTCCGTTGTTGCGGTAAATTTGCACAACGTTCTGGAATGAATAATTCATAGATGCCAATGAAAGCTGCGATAGAGTCCAGATCTTCTGCTGTCAGTCTGAACTGAAGGTCCAACAACCCCCTATAGCTATTGTTGCTTTATTTTTGTTGTTTAGAAAATGTAAATCCATTTAAAATCTTGCTATAGAGATAATTTTGCCTCAAACTATGTATGTTCAGCCCAGTCTTTCCGGAGTTGTGTTTTAGTTGTATTTGTTAGAGCATTGATTGGCTTCATTGTGTGTATGGAGGACTGAGGCTACAAGTGGAAATTTGGCCCCGTACCCAGTTTCCTCCGGCCATGTTTGGCTGAGAAAAAGCACATGTCACAGCCCATTGTGACTGTAAACAGATGAATATCTTTCCCCAAAGTACTTTAACCCTTCGTCGCTTCTTTCTTTTGAATAGGTCAGTATAAATGTTGTAGCAGACTTCCAAAAATGGTTACATTTTTCTTATCCAGAAGGGTTTACCAGACCTTTTAAGTTTTGCAAGATCCTTGAGTTTGGTGTATTTAGCTGCGATTCATCATGTCTAATGAGGTGATAACATTTAGTGGAAGGGCGAATCGCACAGAAAATGCTTAATGTCAGCATTTCCTAAAAGCATTGAGCCAACAGTAAGTAGAGACAATTGGTGCTAATGGTTTCTATGATCCACTTAGACTTACAATGCTTTTGATAAAACCAGCCCTGGTGGTTCACCTCAAAGTCTAAATAAATACAAAAATATAAAAGATAAGTGATTAAGATTTTCATGACAGCACATTTTTTTCAGCATTTAAATTTGGTCAGCAAATATTACCATGATGTCTACTAAAAATTGTACTTTATACAATTTTAATTAGCTACATGTACTTACTAGAGTTAGGTTTGGTTTAGGGTTAGTTACTTGTAATTATGCATAATTTACAGTTATTACTATAGTAAGTACATGTAGTAAATGTGTAAGTACGTCACCTTAAAATTAAGTGTTACCAAATGTTGAAATATTTACTCATTTTATCTACATTACCGTAAAATGATAATGTCAAAGTGCTAAACAAACCCTTCATGTTCTTAAAAATAAACCTCATGTCGTATATTCTCATGCAGAATATAAATTCTTATT